GGGTTTGGGGTTTAGGCTTTAGGGTAGCTCTAGACACGATCTAGCATGGAAGTCTGAATGATTGCCGACACTACTGCTGAACAAACGACGAGCCATGCTATTTGTCAGGTTTTCGTCTTATACTTGTACTATGCTGTACCCCCAAACCCAAACTCACCAGGCCCCTATACTCAACCCTTGTAGAACCCGCAGTGGAACCCCTAAACCCTAAACCCTAAACCCCTAAACCCTAAACCCCTAATTTGAGCGGAATCCCATTCCAACCGACCAGGCCTTGCTGGGTGGCGCGGGCCGTGGCTCCCCGTCGCTGGGCTGGCAGTCATGAAAGAGCCTGATAAAGAGGTTGAGGTTTCGGGTTCCGGTAATAAAGAGGTTGAGGTTTCCGGTGTCGGTAATAAAGAGGCCAAGGTTTCGGGTTTCGGTAATAAAGAGGTTAAGGTTTCGGGTATAGGGTTTCGGTAACAAAGAGGTTTCGGGTTTCGGGTCTCGGTAATAAAGAGGTCGAGATTTCGGGTTTCGGGTTTCGGCTTAGGGGGTTCAGGGTTTAGGTAGACTAGTGGCATGAATAGTCAGAGAGAGGTGTCCTTAGGGTTTAGGGTTTAGGGTTTGGGGATTGGACCGGGGTTTTAAGGTACATCCGAGCAGAATTTCATTAGCGCTGCAAGGGGTTATACCATGGTTACTACTTGTGGGTATTCAGACCCGTAGCGACTCTGTTAAACCCTAACCCCTCAAACCCTAAACCCTAAACCCTAAATCCTAAACCCTAAACCCTAAACCCTAAATCCTAAAGCCCAAACCCCTAAACCCCGAAACCCTAAAAAGCCAGAGCCCTCCTCTACTTCTTGAGAGCGACTTTCGCAGATCCGTGACCAAGCCAGATAGGGCTCCTGCTACGGTTTAGGGTTTACCCATAGGCAGGTCCGAAAGATTGAGGTTTTTGGGGTTTTAGGGTTTACAGGGTTTATAGGGTTTAGGGTTTAGGGCTTATGGGGTTCAGGGTTTAGGGCCTACCCATAGGCCCCATAGTAGTTCCTTTTGGGGGCTCATATTTAGAATCCTATAAGGTAATCCCCAAAAGGAACTACTTTGGGGCCTATGGGTAGGGTTTAAGAAACTCCTCAACTTTTGTTGCTGAACCGTGGAGATGTCCCAGTCTGTGTGATTTTCCTTTACAGTTGCTATCTTCATGGCCTTCTAAGTCGCATTTGTTCCCGCAGTACATTAAGGCATTAATTCCAAACTCAGCTGAACGCTTAGCTCAAAGCTCAGCTCAGCATATATGGGATACACAAGTCATCTAAGCTTCATTCGACTCACACTCACGTCCGCTTCCTGGGCGAAGCCGTGCCATCCAAGAGCGCAAGCTTGGCCACGGTTGCGCGCGCTTGGAAGATGTGCCGCAACTGGTGTGGCAGGGCACGACACCGTTCGTCGCAGTCGTCGTCGAACGCAAGCTCTTTCAAGGAAACGTGGTATCCGGAGCATGCTGCGGCGAGCATCAGCCCTCGCGAGGCTGGGGGCAGCTTGTTCTGGGTTGCACCTCTATACCAAAGCACAGAAGCGTTGCGCGTCCGAGCGACTCCGAGGTTGCGTGGGCGGCAGTCGGCAGAGGAACTTCGCTGTTGAAGCCCAAGTGAGCGTGAGGATCCGGCGGTGTTCAACCTTCAGTGTGCCACGTCAGATGTGCTGCCGGCCGACGACTTTCCGCAGGCATTGGAACACCACACCGGCACTCGCGAAGGATTGGATTTCTTTCGCTGCGGTTAGGCTTAGGTAGGTAGGTAGGTAGGTAGGTAGGTAGGTAGGTAGGTAGGTAGGTAGGTAGGTCGGTAGGTAGGTCGGTCGGTCGGTCGGTAGGTAGGTAGGTAGGTAGGTAGGTAGGTAGGTATAGGAAGGCAGGCAGGCAGGCTGTCGTCATAGTAGGGTCATGAACAAAAAGCAGTCACAACGATGACAAGAGCAAA